ACTTAGCGGTCGCGGTTTCGTGATGGTGCTCTTTTCATTCTTCTTCTGCTTCTAGCGCAGCCATATGCTCGAGGGCCTTTGTGCGTGCCACCTCTGGTCTAGATACCGAAGATACTACGATGCCTACGATGGTCGTTAATCGCCCCTGGTTTACCTGACGGCGGTAGTGTCGGTAGCTGCAATGACGATGCTTTTTGCTAGGCCCTTTATGCCCCTGTTCGCTCGACCTGGACCTGGAGCGGCGTTTCGACGACCCACGGGATCTGTGTCCCGACTCGGATTTTGCTTCCGCCCCTTTTGGGGTGGGAGAACGTTGCTTTCCACGAGGGGGTGCAGGTTTTCGATGTATGCCAGTGCTGGTAGATGGCTCGTGATCAGACATCGCATGTTCGACGAAGAGGGTTAGCTCCTCCTGCGTCAGGATGTCCTAATGCCGTATTTGGTTTGTAGTTTTGTTGTTGTTGTAGTTTTTTTTGTATTTTTAGTTGTATTCATCTTGGTCTTACGACCACCTGCTCGGCAAGGCAAGCACAGTGGTCTACATTTCTTGCATGGGAACTCAGTCGTCGACCGCGGTAGAGCCCTGTGCCGCGGCAAGGCTCCCGCAACAACGAAAAGGTGCCCTAGCTGGGGTTAGTCCCCTTTCAGACACGTCAAGTCTTAAAAGCAATTTTTTCGCATTCTCTTTTGTGTTTTCTATTTGCTTCCAGACGCGTCAACTTTTATTGAATTCAAGTTCTACCTTCTTTTAATGGGCAGCAACAAAAAGATCCAAAGAGACAAGAAAAGTTAAAACGAATCGACGGTACGGAGGTACCTGTACTCTTCCTCTCTCTCTCCTCACCTCCTTCCCCTTGGAACGAGTTGACTTGAAAGCAAGACTTGACGTGTCTGAAAGCTGACTTAAATTCGCTAGAATAACATGAATATGACATCATCTCAGATTTTCCGGTGGAGAGAGCTGAGAGAGATCTATCAGTATATATATGTTTTGCATATTATATCGTTGGCTTAGTTCGAAAACGTGCCAAGTCCATTTTTTTTTATTTTTCAGGAGGGACAAAAAACCGTCTAACTTTTTTTGTTGTCAATATTTTTCTAATCTGTAAATACAGTTTTATTCCTTAGTTCGTCTTGGTTTAGTACCAATAATCGGCCAATTTCAAAATAAAGCTGTTGCAGACTTATAGGCTCTTTTAGGACTTACGACATTTTCTCTTTAAGATTTTATTCTTTTAATGTGGACTTAGCACATTTTCTATCAACCTTTTTTCCATTATTTTTTATTGTTAAAAGATTTAATTGTTTACTTTAAATATATTTTATTGTTTTAAAATGAATTATAACCTAATACAGTTTTATTTCATTGCTATTAACAAAAATAACTATTTTGTCGTAAATTTATGTACCATTTATAAAAGAAAATAATTAAAAGCAAGTAAAGAGGTAAAGTTTGGGCGAAACCGAACTTTATCTACCCGGCGCAGGTATCAAATACTGTCGTAAGCAGGGGCTTTTTCCCCGATTTCAAACGTTTTCGATAATATCCTGAGTTAAACTCAATGAAATAATTGAACCACGAGCGGTGTAACGCAGTCTTATTTATTGTTAAGAGATTAAGAGATCTGAAATTTACCGTTAGATACACGGGAAGCGAATGTAATTTTGGTCCGATTTGAATAATTTTCAACGAATTGCTTTTCCGTACCAGGTTTATTAAGTGCACAGAGTTTGGTAGAAATTGATAAATCGGTTACCGAGTTACAAATTTGTGGTCACAAGTGGGCGGCGCCATGCCCATTATCCAAAAATGTATCATAATCTAATTTTCTGCTGAGTGGTTATCGCGATCATCGATTTTAAGTGAATTAGATTTTCAACAGATTTCTTAGCTAGACCCTAAATAAGGCTCGTACCGAGTTTGGTGAATGGGCTACTGAGATGCAGCATTTCATAATAGGTGGACGGGTCACGCCCATTTTCCAAAAATTGCACAATAATATTTTTTACAAAAATTCTACTTCACATACTAATTTTGAACAATTTGCATCCAATATTTACTGAAATATCGTACTTTTTGCATCTTTAGAAAATACCTTTATATCGGAAATGGGCGTGGTTACATTCAGATTCGCCCATTTTTAATACCAACTTACCTTGGATAAAGGGCAACCTACATACCAAATTTCGTTGAGATATCTCGAGTTATCGTGTACACGGACAGACGTGTATATATATTTTTTTGATTTTTTTGGACTTAGCACATTTGCGTACCAATGCATAACAACAAGTAAAAACGACATTACGGTAATTTTATTTTTTGGTAATGATGTATTTTCAGTTATGCAATCTTACTGCATCAAAATCTCAATTTACATAAAAAGTGGACTTAGCACGTTTACGAACTAAGCCAACGATATGTATATTACACAGCGAATACACAAAATCTCCTAAGGCATCATATTTATGTTAAAATTTTGAAGAGAGGTATACCAATCAGCGCTACCTTCTCAATTCATTTCGCCATGTAAATCTGAAGCTCAAAGTTACAAATCCATTCAAACGCCCTATACGTATACACATTTTTTTCAGCTACTTTTCACTTAGTGTGGAACCGTCAAGGCGGGTTTACCGTTCGTGTCCGGTTCACCCAGCGTTGCCAAGTTGACGTTTTTAACGTCATTTGGATTTTTTTTATCCTGTTTTTTATCACTATCGAATGCCGTGACCCCGAAATTAAATTTCGATACGAGCGACGTTTGATATCGAATGCCTCGATTCGTGGGCCGATTTGTTTTCACCACTTTTTTATCATATTACTAAGCAGATACAACCTTGTTGCGGTACCCGTATACCAATACCTCGCTTAGCGAACAGAAGTAACTTGAAGCGAGCAGAAAAATTATTAAATCGTAAATATATATTTTAAGAATTTCGGTGCCCACATATGTTCATATGTCCACCACAAGTGGTTTATTCCAGGGACCAAAAATAACTGTTATCTCGAATATAAAAATTAAAAACGTCCAAATTCTGAAATTTAACGAAAACGTAGTTTCATAACAGTTATCAAATGAAAAATATTTTTTATAACGCCGATAAGAGTTATGACCCAAGATTTATTTTTTACGTTGCTTGATAACAGTTATTGCCCAACGTTTATTTTTTACGTTGCTTGATAACAGTTATTGCCCAACTTTTATTTTTTACGTTGTCTGATAAACGTTGTAAGATGAGAATATTGACGAAAACGAAATGGAGAAGATAAAGATGATGAAAATAAAAGAAGGGGAGTGAAATAACTGTTATCAGACAACGTAAGAATAAACGTTGAGTAATAACTGCTATCGAGCAAAGTAAAAAATAAACGTTGAATAACTTTTATTGGCGACGGTAAACATATTTCTCCTGCGTAACAGTTACCAGGCAACGTAAAAAATAAACGTTGGGTTATAACTCTTATCGGCGAAATAAAAAATATTTCTCATCTTATAACTGTTATGGAACATCGTTTTCGATAAAACTTATAACTGTTATGTCCCTGATTTATTCAAGAAATTTATTTTAAAGCTTTAATGCGTTGTTAAAAAATTAAATGTTTTCACATTAAATTTTAACGTTTGAAATAGGTTTGATTGAGGCCTTAAGCAAAAACTTTAAGGTCCAGTGCTACCCAGAAGATAATTTAGGTAGGCCTTCTTAAGTAAAGCCATTCTAAGATGCCTACCCAAGAAGGGCTTCTAGAAGGGCTTATCCATTTACATTTTACGCGAATGCATACATTTATATTATTTAGCATTACAAATTAATTTCAATAAGCATTTTGAGTTGCAATAACACATCTTTGATATAAACCGCAAGCAAAAATACTTCAAAGATGTATGACTTTTATAAATTAAAGAAGCAACTTTAAAAGAACTCCCCAAAAGCCCTTCTGAAGTATGTCCTATAAAATCCCTTCTGGAAGGCCTTCCATGGGTAGCGAAAGAAGCCCTTCAATTTTTGCCACTCCATACAAAAAAGAAAGGAATGTAGAGTGGAAGGCCTCTTGACTCTCAGGAAGGCATTTCAGAAGGGCTTTTAACTCCAGAAATTATCTACTGGGTATTTAAGCAACCGTAACTTTGTATTCACTCGTTTAATCTGTCATCTCTATTTACTTAAAATTAGTATTTAGATAATAAATATTGGGTCATATAAAAAGGCTCTGCGGATTTTTGTCACTATATGGTGTTGATTCCCATACATATGTACACCTGACAACAAATCAAATTTCCAGAAGATAATTCAGGTTCAATCAAGAAAGAGCGACCAGAATTGGTCAACAGAAAAGGAGTTGTTTCCATCATATTATTGCTAGGCCACTTTGATTACTCTGAACTAATTGACGGAACATGGTTGGGGAGCTTTCATGCATCTCCCGTATAGCCTACACCTTGCACCGTCGCACTTCCATTTGTTTCGGTGTCTGCAAACCTCTGATTATAAAAAAAAAACCAACCGATGAGCCGCTGAAAATCACTGGCCAAGTCTTTCGCCGATAAAACATAGAAATTCTACACCGATGGAATTATAAGGCTTACCGAAGAATGGCAATACGTTATAGATAATAATGACCAATATGTAAAATTGAGTTCCAATGAAGAAATTTTATTTCAAAAACTTTGTCAAAAATACGCGGAGACTTCTCATACGACCCAATAAAATGTTCACTTGTCTCATGCCAAAAGAAAGTGGTGGAGTACAGGCCGAGCGCATCGTCTTTTATATTACCTTATTAAAGTTGCCATTGTTTTTATCTATGTATTTTGCGATCGTTCCATTTTTCGTTACAATTTATTATTTATTATATTTTTTTGTATATAAAGAGCATGTGTGTTGTATGTGTATGTGTTTTGCCTTCGTTTATATTTTTTTTGAATCTGTTTCAATTAAATTTAAGCAATATTAAATGAAATTACAATTAATAAAAAAAAAGATAGGAAATACTAAAATTATACTTAGAAGTGGATGCCGTATTTGTAGTCCCTTGTTGATGTTTCTTCCCTTCCTTCACAACTCATCTTTACTTTTGGATGCACATTATGTTTTGCGATTTGTTATTGTTGTCATTAACATACATACATGTACAAATTGAAAATGGATAGTTTCTTTATATAGCGGTTTCACATGTTTTATATTGTGTCCTTCTGATGTTCCGTTCTCTAAAATCGTCTTCTTTTATATCACTACGTTCAATGTTTTCAACAACCGCTAAACAAATGATAACCGCCTTAAATTGCTTGATATTGTTGCAGTTTGGATATGAGGGGAATTGGGATCAGTAGGATTTTGATTTCAGTTGATTTTCTTGCTTTCATTTTCGCTTTTTGTTTCTCTTTTATTCAAATTTTCATTAACTTTATGTTCAAATCAAAAATGTATTTTTCTTTAATTTATATTTATATATGTATGTGTATTTAGCGATTAGCATTCTTAAGCTGATTGGATAACCAATCGAGACCTTCATATAGACCATCGCCGCTGGTTGCACACGTCGCCTGTATGTACCAATTACGGTTTCTGAGTGAGTGCAAACCGAGCTTGTCGGTGATTTCGGCTGCGTTCATTGCGTTTGGCAGATCCTAAAATAAAATATAAGTTTTTAGTATGCATTAGTAATCTTTACAAGTATTTAATGATTATGTATAACCACTTTAAATTGTCAATTTCATAAAATTTATTAGGTTTTAAGTATCCACAAAATTATGACAATCTCTCACGAAAGAGAAAGCTTGAACTAATTAGAACCCATTAGAGCAAAACGTTCCAAATATATCGGAAATTGTTTTATTAAAATTTGTGTATATCAAATATATTGTGTTTAGAGGTTTACATTTTTCAATACGGCGGATTACAAGCAGCCCGACAAACTTTATGCAGTAATGGGTTAATAACGCCTGTTTTTCCTATTGGGATTATATTTTTTCGGGTTCGTCATTGTATTTATTATCGTATTGTCTTAGTTTTCATAATCGTGTCCAGATTTGGCGATTCTGCGCCAATTTGGCGATTTTTTTTGATACTTGCGCGTAAAAATTTAGGAAATCACCATTGGCGATTTTTCCTCTTCAAATAAATTTTTCCCAATCATAAAAATATAAAAAACTTAGTTTTCTACGATAATTTTACGGAAGAGGTTAATGAACTACGTGATAAACTTGACTTAAGAAGCACATTAAAAGACTGTCAAAAATGTTTAATCACCCTAATCGAAGAACTTTTGAAACGATTACCTAAAGGGTCAACACACCAAAACTGTGACACTTTGGGAAACTTATAACTCACCTAAAAAGGTTTCACTATTTTGAAACTCAAATGCCATGAGTAGACCATGACCTTAGTTTCACGAAGGAGAAATTTCATTTGAATTTCTAGTTAAGTTAAAAATGGCAATCGAGTTAGAAACGAGACAAATTATTTTGCACGAGTTTATAAATAATCCGGCCTTAAGTGCGCGTAAAATTGCTAAAAATCTAAAATTGCACCATTCGACAGATTGCAGGGTTTCGAATCTGTACAAGGAAGGTCTGGCAGTTACCAGAAAACCTGGAAGCGGGGGTTTTAAAGCTCAAACAGCTCCAGATCGAGACGCAAAGCAGAACGTTAAAGCTAAATCCCGCAGCCGGAAATTGTATGAATCCTAAATTACAAAATACAAATGCATTGTTATGGACGACGAAACCTACTGCTTTCAAAATTTCAAATATATTGCTGGTCAAGATGTTTATACTGCTGCAAGTCGTCAAGATGCCCCTGAAAGCTGTAAGCTGAAAACGAAGTCCAAATTTCCAAACAAATACATGGTTTGGCAAGGTATTTGTTCCGGTGGCCGTAAGAGCAGCCCTTATTTCACACCCGGGACAATGAACGCTCAAGTTTATCGGAATGAGTGCCTCAAAAAGCGTCTTTTGCCATTTATCAACAGACATGGTACTAGACCACTGTTCTGGCCGGACCTGGCAAGCTGCCCCTATGCCAAGGACACATTGCAGTGGTATAATGCAAACAACATCAATTTTATACCTGCAATCCACCCAATAGCCCAGAGCTACGTCCTATTGAGGAATATTGGTCAATCGTGAAAGGGATATTGAATAAGACGGGTGAAACTTGTATTTGTAGCAAATAATAACTAATATTTTAACATTTTAATTATATATAAACTTCAAAGTATTATACTAAAAAAAAATATTTCAAGGTCTTCTTGTTTCTTTCTGGTAGTAATTTTTAAGTGTCGCAGTTTTGGTGTGTTCACCCTTTAGTCAACTAAATACTTTTAAAAAAGCTTTGATTTTGTCACCAGAAAAGTATGTGAATCACAAGAAGGCGAGTTTCAGGGACCTGCTAATTCACTATTTGACTTTGAAGGAAAGAAGAGCAGCGGAAACTGAATATATAAATCTTTTAACTTTCCCATGGAATAACTTTTCTCAGAACCATTCCATTCGGCTCTGAAGAATTGTGGATAATTGCTTACGGAGTGAAAACCGCAACAGGCGATAAAATGTTTGGAAATATAAGTAAATTTATATTATTATCCTTGCCGTACTCATACGCTTTGTTGAGCCCGTTTTTTCGTAATGAATTCAACAAAAACTAAGATTCGACCTTATTATAGGTTTTTATTTAATTTTTAGCGGATTATGCGATTAATCAATTAATATAAGTTATAATAAATTTAATAATTGCGCAGTTCTATTGCAAAATGTGTTGAAACAAATATTTTTAAAAAGTATGCGTATTTTTAAAGAAAACTGTACATCACTATTATATAAGTGATTTGTGTTATTTATTATTACCCTCTGAAGGTATTATATTCGTTTTTGTTCTTAAAACCAATATTATAAAATGATCTCAATGATCTCAATATAAAAGATTTGTTAAATCGATTTCATGAATTTTATTAAAAAAAAAAATGGTGATTCTTGGCGATTTTTTTTTTCAGAAATTGCGCTTTTTTTAAACAATTTGGTATTCGTCTTTGTCTTATTCTCAAGGTCTGATTATAACCACTTAACGTAACTTAGAGGCCGTCACTTAGAAATTCTCTTATATGGATATTGCTTATATTTGGACAGCCGAAACTTGACGCAATGACGTCTGTTTCATTTTCATTTTCTATGTTCTAAGTTACGTTAAGTTAATTTGCCATAATCAAGCTTTTAGTCTTAACCAGGACCATAACAGTTATACGTTTTATCGCAAAAACGTTGCTCCAAAACAGTTATTAGATGATAAATCTCTATATCGGGCCCTATTACACATATATGGCGACTGGGGTCTAGATACTGGTCTAGTATCCATGGCCAGCAGTATCGTACTTTGTATTATGTATAGCGAAAGCGTTGCCTGATAACAGTTATTTCACTGTCTCACTTTGGTTTCCATAATCTTTATCTTGTTCTCCATACCCGTCTTCATCAATATCTTACAACGTATATTAGACAACGTAAAAAATAAACCTTATCAAGCAACGTATAAAATAAACGTTGGTAAATAATGGCCCTATTATATAGGGCGACTGGTGTCTACCCAATAAACACAACGAATTCGCCTCGAATTTGAGACTAGCTCATTTCCTCTGATAAGATACTATACATCGCGACGATAGATCGGCTTATTCGAATTCGAAGGAGAGTCACCTATCGTTAGCGAATCGAATATTACTAGTTTTTCGAATCGTTGGAGAATCCAGAAATTTCTTTCTCCGAATCGATGGCGAATCGAAAATATTTAATTTTCCTAATCGTTGGAGATTCTAGAATTTTTATTTTTCGAATCGTTGGCGTTTCGAGAATTATTGATTTTTCCACTCAAGATTTCAGCTCGCTGGTGCTTTGAGATGGCAATATTTTTCGACCCAAGTTTTATAGGATTTAAAAATCTAACTATCTGAAATTAAATCTATAATATAAATAAACAAAAGGTAAAAAAATGCAATAGCAACAGAGAATGTTTCGTTTTCTAGGGATATCAGAAAATGTGTAGCAAATAATTTAACATTAATTAGCACCACTATATGTAAATACCCGTTTCACGAAATAACCAAGGTTTTACAAATCAGTTTAAATGCAGATATTTACTTTGTTCCGCTGCTGCATTAAGTAAAGCCGGCTTACTAAAATAAAATATAAAGAAATTGTATTTGTTTTATTTTCCTAACAAATAATATTTTCGAAAAAACTATATTTTTTTGATTGTGCCTCGAAGACGATGCAATAAAAAAATCTTTCGAGAAAACTGATTTACTCGAGCTCGCATCGAATTGGAAACGAGCTAAAAAAATATATTCGAGAAATATATTTTCTCGAGTTCGTCTCGAATTCGATACGATGCCATCCTCGTTTTTGTGTTTATTGGGTAGTAGCCGGCCTAGTAGTCATGGTCTCAACGTGGTCTAGTAGTAGTAGTAGTCGCGTCAATAGCGACAAAACTAAATAGCTCCGTCGGAAAGCTTTTACAGGGGAGTTTTGTATATTTATTTATATGGTAATTGCGCGCATGTCATTACTTTTCAATAATTTGAATATATCTTACAATTAAAATAATGCAAATGCAATTATTACATATGATTTACGACAATTACGATTACGACAATTTCGTCAACGACAATTTTAAACCCCGATAATAACAAACTTTTCCAATGGAATTTCACATGGAATTGAAGAGGTTGTGACAAATGTTTTTATGAAACAAAACACCCACCAAAGTGTCAAATTGCCACTGGCAACATGGAAAGTGCTTGTCTTTACAAAACTAACACTGCCACTTTATGAAATAGGCTGGTAACGTCACGTTAGATAGTTTGGCTGATTAAACATAAAGCAGAAAAGATTTCTACATTTAAAAACTTGGAAAATTAACCCTTAATATTTCCAATATTACTACAAAAACTTATATACAAAATCGACTTCTGTTTTTTGTAACGTCACGCCAGCGCGTATGTTTACTAACCCCCATATTATGAATTTATACGATGCACGATAAACGCTTGCATTCTGTTATTCTCTATCTAACTAAAAGCCGCACTCATTGGTGATTCTTGGCGATTTTTTTTTCAGAAATTGCGCTTTTTTTAAACAATTTGGTATTCGTCTTTGTCTTATTCTCAAGGTCTGATTATAACCACTTAACGTAACGTAGAGGCCGTCACTTAGAAATTCTCTTATATGGATATTGCTTATATTTGGACAGCCGAAACTTGACGCAATTTAATGCAACGTCGAAGTCTGTTTCATTTTCATTTTCTATGTTCTAAGTTACGTTAAGTTAATTTGCCATAATCAAGCTTTTAGTCTTAACCAGGACCATAACAGTTATACGTTTTATCGCAAAAACGTTGCTCCAAAACAGTTATTAGATGATAAATCTCTATATCGGGCCCTATTACACATATATGGCGACTGGGGTCTAGATACTGGTCTAGTGTCCATGGCCAGCAGTATCGTACTTTGTATTATGTATAGCGAAAGCGTTGCCTGATAACAGTTATTTCACTGTCTCACTTTGGTTTCCATAATCTTTATCTTGTTCTCCATACCCGTCTTCATCAATATCTTACAACGTATATTAGACAACGTAA